TAAATTTTCAACCATGTCGGCATCTCGCAGGTTGCCGTCTGCTCTTGCCCTAACCCTATACCTATATATATATATATATATAAGGTTCGCCCCGTCAGCTCGCCCTAACCCTATACCCTATACATATCATATACCTAATATATAACATATCACTTCAAAGACAATTCCGAAATACATACCACACACCTACCCCCCTATACATAACTAGCTATACTAATAATAATGATATATATAATATAAATAGCAAATTAGAAGAAGGATAGCAATTAGAAGAGGAGGGAGATTGTCTTCAACGGAACAATTAAACAAAGAAATTATGCAAGCACATGCGTGGCCATCAACGCTCTCGTATCTCAATCAATAATTTTCTTTTTGAGAAGACAATTGATATGTTTTTTTTCATAAAATAATAGTCAATAATAATAATAATAATAATAATAATAATAATAATAATAATAATAACAAAATAGTCAATCTAAGAGTGGGCTAATACTTTAAATCTCATTTATAGTTTGTGTAAAGTGTGCATGGATTATATAGGGTCTGTTCGTCAATATTAGCGGTTAGCTGTTATTATTGTAGTAGTTGTTTTATTAGCTGTTATCTATTAATTTTAATGTTTCATAAAATACTTCTTCAAACTTTAAAAGCTATCGTAAAAACTATTAAAGCGCTAAAATTTGTTAGCCGAACAGCGCCATAGATTAACACGTGTTTACAAAATTAGCATTTTGTTATGATTTAAGGAATAGTATTATGTTCTTACTTAATATGGATGCGTCGTATATTTTCTATTTAACTCGTAAAAAAACAATATACAACATCTAAATTCACATTCATGTATCACTATTAATTTGAGTTTGAATTTAGTAATCTAATCTAATTTGTATCCAAATTTGAAATCTTGATTAGTTCATTTTCACCGTCCATGACTTTTAAGAAGAGGGTGAAAGAGAAAGAAAGAAAGCAACAAACAACGAATAAGAAATATTGCTGACAAACCTGATAAAAAGCCTTTTGATTTGCTTAATTTCAAAATTGAGAAAACAATATTTCGTGAACCCCACACCCAATATTTGATTAATCAAAGTTGATTTTTCATTGTTTCTTTAACTCTAGAACTTCTTGTTGCTTACACATTAAAGCAATTTTTTTATTATTAACTAAGAAAATCATAATTAAATTTATATAGTTTTCATTATGAGGCCTTTCTTATCGTTTTTTATTAATATTTTCACACCTTTTTTGAATACGGGATAAATTTTATTTCAGGATTTGCAGTTTTCTCTTCGATATTTATTTACAGTTCGAATTTTTTATTAATATTTTCACACCTTTTTTGAATACGGGATAAATTTTATTTCAGGATTTGCAGTTTTCTCTTCGATATTTATTTACAGTTCGAATTTTTTATTAATATTTTCACACCTTTTTTGAATACGGGATAAATTTTATTTCAGGATTTGCAGTTTTCTCTTCGATATTTATTTACAGTTCGAATTTTTTATTAATATTTTCACACCTTTTTTGAATACGGGATAAATTTTATTTCAGGATTTGCAGTTTTCTCTTCGATATTTATTTACAGTTCGAATTTTTTATTAATATTTTCACACCTTTTTTGAATACGGGATAAATTTTATTTCAGGATTTGCAGTTTTCTCTTCGATATTTATTTACAGTTCGAATTTTTTATTAATATTTTCACACCTTTTTTGAATACGGGATAAATTTTATTTCAGGATTTGCAGTTTTCTCTTCGATATTTATTTACAGTTCGAATTCTCTATGATTTTTCTATAAATCCGTTCAAATTTTTTTCTTCTATTAAAGAGAATATTTTTTTTTCTACATAACTGTCCAAAAAAATAGTGACAACAATAACTCAAAACTAAATTTGAAAATAAAATTTTAAAATATGGTAACAACAAATCTCGACGATCTAAGTTTTCAATTGGAGTTTTGAGGAAAAAAAAAAGAGAAATCAAGAAGAATTACTCTCATTACACTTTCATTTTGTAAAAGAAAGTGTAATGAAGTCAACTAACGTTTTGGTTGCTACAAGAAAGGGAAAGAATTGCTTGTGGTTATAAGAAGTTGCCCACAGAAAACATGGAGAGAAAGGTAAAGAAGGAATCAAATATTTTATTTCCTTCAATGGTTGGCAAGGTTTGATTGAAGACTTTACCCATTGCATATGCTAAAGTATTGGCCTCTAAATTGTAGTTTAATATAGAAAATTTTAATTTATTAAGCCAAAATTTTCCCTTGCCACCATTTTGCTTTAGAAACTCCACCCAATGCACCCAAAAACATGGTTATGTTCAATGTTGGATTGCACTCTTTCCTTTTGAACATTAGAATATTAGTTCAATATTCGAATATTTATGTTATTTAATAATGTAAAATTTTTTAGTTTTGAAAGTTTAAATTATTTTCCCATTAAAAAACCATAAACATGTTTAAGCTATTCCCCTATTTGTATTAAATGGCCAAAGATATAAAATGATTAATTATATGTATTTGAAAAATAAAAATTATGCATAGTAGATCTTTTATGAGTAATGTGATTTTTTTTCCATGTTGATACACATGAGTCGATCTTTTAGAATTCCATATCGCTTTTGGAACGTGCTTATATGTAAAATATATGGATTAATATATTTTGTTAAAATTGCTATGATTTTCATAAAATTTATGTCTTTTTAACTTAGCATGCCTCTCCCATCATGACTTTTCGAACCAACCAACTCAGATCTGCCCTCGCAAGTCTCTATGCATTTTGGGAACAGAGCATGCAAAATCGAGCAATGGATCTTAGAAAAATTCTACTTTGAACGGCACGACTCTTTCTATTTTTTCGCTAGCATTTTAGTTGTCTCCCCTCCTCTTTCAATTGACACACTGAACTACATAGCTCCGGTGGTCCGGCTTCTGCCCTTATCAGTCTTCGAATCTACCCTCCCCTACCACGCTTACCCAAGAACCCATTTTTCAGGATTCGGCAGGCCCGTAAAAAAAATTGGGATACTTCCCCATATACGTATTCTATTTTTAAAAATTATATTTTAATTCTTGTATTCGGTAAAATTAACTATTCTATCTCTTTATTATGAAAAGTAGATGATTAAATTATTCTATCTATTAATAAGTTTTCGAAAATTCAACTGATTGGCATTTTTATCCATTGATAATAAAATATAGAAGCAGAGTAATTAGCATCAAATTGTATGGACTAAATAGTAATTTCAATCGTGATTTTTTTTCTTGATAATTAATCACATGTATCATGATAAAATATATGTTTGTTTTTATTTAGTAACGCATGAGATAAGCAAATTTAGCTACTTCATGCATAGTCATACCTTAGACTTAGACATTTATCTAATTTATATACAAGTCAATAGATTTATAATATTGTTTTTATGTTTTAAAACATAAAAAATCTTTATCTCAAATTAATTAGAGTTAATTATATAAAATATTCATTTTTTTTTCCATTTTTGCTTATTTTTGGTTAAATCATCAAATCTTGAATGATGTAGAGAGAGAGAGAGAGAGAGAGAGAGAGAGAGAGAGAGAGAGAGAATTATATACAATATCATTTTTTTTTCCATTTTGCTTATTTTTGGTTAAATATCATCAAATCCTGAACTTGATGTAGAGAGAAAGAGAGAGAGAGAGAGAGAGAGGAGAGAGAGAGAGAGAGAGTATCCACCACAAGCTTGTGTTAGAAATAATATAAAATTTTCTTTGCAAGTCTCATTTGTTGTCCCCATGCAAAAGAAATGAGCAATGGCAAATCTCACTTTAATCCTAGACATTTCATCATTTTCCTACTAGCCAATCAATATACGACAGGGTGAAGGAAGAGAGAGAGAGAGAGAGAGAGAGAGAGAGAGAGAGAGAGAGAGTATCCACCACAAGCTTTGTGTTAGAATAAATAAAATTTTCTTTTCAAGTCTCAATTTGTTGTCCCCATGCAAAAGAAATGAGCAATGGCAATCTCCACTTTACCTAACATTTCACATTTTCCTACTAGCCAATCAATATAGAAGGTGAAGGACAAGTGTTGGTCAATGGGATTTTGATTATAACAATCCACAAAATGCTTGCCACTTGCTATGTGAAAAGATTGACACGTGTCTTTATCTTGCTTTTCATTGACACTTATGCACACATGTCTTGTTGTAGGAGAAATATCTTTAGAAAATTTAAGAAAAAGAAAAATTAAGATTGGCAAATAGAATTTGCTTCTCATAGACCAAAACCCTAACAACATAACAAACCAACATGTCCTTATTCTAAAAAGTGGAGTTCACTAACTTAAACTATTTTTTCTTTTCTTTTTTTTTTTTTTTTATCAAGTAATGATTAACCTTGTACATTATCTATTTAAAATGCTATTGCCATAATAAAAAAAATGTTTTAAAAATAGTCTTTATTATTATATTTTTATTTATAATTATTGAAAGCTTTTATAATTAATTAAAAAACTATTATATGTGAAATTAAAAATTAGCACTTTATATTTTTTATTAGAAATTAGAATTATTGTTGGTGATATTAATATTTTATCTTAAAAAATAATTATATATAATACATAGTAACACATGTAATTTTTGCTAAATCATTTTCGTATATTAAATAATATGATAATATGTAATAATGTGATAATTGCATTCAAAACTTATCATATTATTAATAATATTTTATAAAAAGAAAATATAAAATTAGAGAATTATTTGAATATTAACTACAAAAAATATAAAGAATTAATTAATATAAGAACTATTATAATTATGTTATTTTTCAAATGAAATACTACTATTTATCAAAATCAAGAATTATGGATTTTGGTGTTTGTATTGTATTGTATTTATTTATTTTCTTTATGTATTTGGTTTATGTGTGAGTATGTGGAGCCCATCACTACCCATATGCATTGCTGGCTTTCAGCCGTCGATTTGTTGGTTTTCTTTTATAGGGACTTTTGTCTGCTCACAAACACCCAAAACGCCCAGTTCTTTTCTGTTTTTTTTTCCCGGTTTTCACTTCTCTCAATCCCAACTTATCGACTCAAATCTCCTCTACTCTTTCTTCCCAATTATCACTTTCTTTCTTCTTCTTCTTCTTCTCTCCGTGTTATTCTTAAACTCAACAAAGAAAATAAAGAAAAGAAACCCACTTTTTAAATAAAGTTTAAAGCAAGAGACCAAGTGAAACATAATTTCTCTTTATATGTTTTACAGTTTTGATATGATGGATCTATAGATCTAACCCCTTTGTAGCCACATGTATTTATCTGTTTCCTTTAGATCTCCATCCTTTTCATCTGCTGTAATTCAGTAGCTGACCAGAAACTGCAGACAAGCCTTAAACTTTTTTTCTGTATTGTGAGTTTCTTTTTCTTTTCTTTTCTTTTTTTCTTTTTTCCTGCGGATATGATTGATGATTTGGTCTAAACCCATTAGGCACCAAAAAAACTTAGGATTTTTGTCTATGTTGGACTAGATTTATGTAGTTTACAGCTTTTTGAGGTGTGTAATATGGGCTTGGATTAGAGTCTCTTTGATTCTGTTGTTTAATCTCTTTACTAGTCATATTAATATATTGGTATTGGCTATTTTGCTGTTTCAAAATGGAAATGAATATGGATTTATGATGTCAGGCATAGATTTTCTTGTTCAATTTGTTGACTGAAATTTGGATCAGATTTGAACCCTTATGTTAATGCTTTTCTTCAGTTTGAGAAATTGCCAATGAGTTATAGCATATTTTTACTTCAAAGTTTTGTTCTTTTTATAGCATGTGTTCAATTTTTTTTTTTTCATGTGCAGAGGGAGACTGGTAGGGTTTATCTGAAGGAGTTGTATTGCATCCAATTTTTGGATGTGGAGGAATTGGAGGCTGGTCCCGGTGAGATGAGGGATGTTATCAAGGTTGATAAACTTTTTGAGGGCCTGCTGGCTGCCGTCCTCGGAGCAGTATGCCCACACTGGTGCAGATGCAGCTGGCCGGCAAGATGGGCTCCTTTGGTACAAAGACACTGGACAGCATGTAAATGGTGAATTCTCTATGGCCGTTGTGCAGGCCAATAATTTACTTGAGGATCAGAGCCAGCTTGAGTCTGGCTCCTTGAGCACTCTCGAGTCTGGTCCATATGGAACCTTTGTTGGAGTATATGATGGTCATGGAGGGCCGGAGACATCACGTTATATTAATGATCATCTGTTTCAGCATCTCAAGAGTAAGAAACCAAAAACCTTGCAGTGCTTCCTCATTAGAGTTAATTTCAGTACATGAATTGGTTTTTAATTACATTTTGCTATTTTAGAATTTTGATTGATGTATTGGTAGAATAATCAAAAGCTTCTTCTTCCTTCCTGTAATCTAGTGGCATTTATTTTTCGTGTTTCAGTGGATTGGTTCATCGTTGAGCATCACATTTTGTTTCAAATGAGTGACCTAATGTTGGTATTTTGCAGGGTTCACCTCAGAACATCAATCTATGTCTGTGGATGTGATTAAAAAAGCATTTCAAGCAACTGAAGAGGGATTTCTTTCTCTTGTCACTAAACAATGGGCTATGAAGCCTCAAATTGCAGCAGTTGGATCTTGCTGTCTGGTGGGTGTCATTTGTGGGGGTAACCTCTACATAGCTAACCTTGGTGATTCACGTGCAGTCCTTGGTAGGCTTGTCAAAGCAACTGGAGAGGTTCTTGCCATCCAGTTGTCATCGGAGCATAATGTAGGGATAGAGTCTGTCAGACAAGAGATGCATTCTCTGCATCCAGATGATTCACATATTGTGGTTTTGAAACATAATGTATGGCGTGTGAAGGGCCTGATACAGGTAAAATCTTTGCTTGGACAATTGCAGTAGATGTTTTATCTGACTGGCTCTTTGTATTCATTTTTGCTTGCTATTACGTCGTTTCCATTATCAAATGGAAAACTTATTCATTTGAATGCTGTGAAAGTATTTTGAAGTGTTGTAACTGGATTTTTTTAAACTATCCAGTGGTGCAGTACCTATATTGATGGTAGTTTTCTCAAAGAGCACATGGGGTTAAGCATTTTGTTTTTCTGTTGCTTGTTGCTCATTGGGCCTAATGACAGTTATCCTACAATTGACACAGCAAAGCCCCATTTTGAGTGAGTGAGTTTTTGGCTGTTTGAATTTGCTTGATAAGTAATTACCTGGACACTGAATAGTTCTTTCTGATGTTTATGTTTCATTTAAAAATTTTTGGATATCATATTTTCCTTTTTTATATTATAGGAATGCATCTGGCTTTAACAGTTGATCTGGTGTGATGGATGTATCTATATGTTCACCAGTTACCATTAAACCTCATGATAGTGGAAGGACTTTAAGCTATATTCCTCTGGATTTTAGGGTCTGAGTAATTGGAGAGTGTGTATCTATGTGTTTACACAAAAGAGAGAGGGGGACAGATAGTGTGCGCATAAATATGCGCATGAGAGTGTGCCTCCATGAGAGGGAGAGAGAGATACTTTGGTTTTGTTGCTATATGCATACACCATCATCACTAACAAGGGGATGAGATAAGTAATATGGATATAACCTAGAAATGGGTGATTGAGTAATTTGAAGGACAAGAAGCTAGTTGTCATGATGGCAACCTTAATCAGGAAAACTGTTTGTTGTTTGGTTTTTCAGGGGAAAAAAATCATTATATCATTGTCATGACCAAGGAGGAAGAAGTAGTACTAGTTTCAGAAATGTACTAAAAAGGAAAATCCAGCTGCATTATGCTTTTTTTTTTTGTCATATTTGTCGTTTTGCTAGATGAACTCAAATCACTTCTTTTGGATTCCCATGAGGCATCAGATTCTGCATAAAGGATTGGTGAAGATGTTGCATTCTAAATGTATACTGGAAGAGTATGTAGAGATAACTGAAGACTACTTTGATGCTAGAGTAGCTACCATGTGATGATGCTTTATATACAGAATAAACTGTAACCATCAATCATACTACGCAACTGCAACATGGATATAGTGTTGTAAATCCATGTCCTTTGGTTTCGTAGTGCATTATTTCTGGTATCTTGGGTCTTAGGAGTATTTGGACCTATATGAAGTAAGATATACCATGTTTGATGTGGGAAGTAATGATAAAATGTTGAAGCCATTTTAGTCATGCTTATTACACATTTTTGCTATAGTGATGTTATTAACATTTGCTTGAAGGTTGTATCATAATCATTATTGTGCAACGTGTACATAAATACATGATTGTTATTCAGTTTTGTTATTTCAATGAATTAAGAGTTAATTATAATATTGACTTTAAATTCATAAAGATATTTATTGTATAATATAGGTCTTTCTGCAGACAGCTTATTGTTCACATGCTCATGCACATGCTCATGGACGTGTGATGAGTTTTAATATGTTCAGAAATTTTTGCATCACAGGTTTCCAGATCCATAGGTGATGTATATCTAAAGAAGGCTGAATTTAATAGAGAGCCCTTGTATGCAAAGTTTCGTCTTCGTGAACCTTTTAAGAAGCCAATTTTAAGCTCAGAACCATCAATTTCTATGCTTGAACTACAACCTCATGATCAATTTCTCATTTTTGCTTCTGATGGGCTGTGGGAACACCTTAGCAATCAGGATGCCGTTGATATAGTTCAAAATCACCCACGTAATGTAAGTGCTCAATTACAAGTTTTTTTTTTTAATTCAGATAATATGGATTTGCCCGTGAATTTTTTAGGGTACATATTACTAATGGTGCTTGCCAAATTAATCTCACCCTTTTGTTCAAAGAAATAAAAGGAAAAAAAAAAAAAGAAAGTTACTGTTGAAGATTTCAACATTTGGAACTTTATTTTTTGAACTATGAACACCATTTGCTATTGTGGATCGATATGCATGCCTTTTACAGCCCTCTGATTTCATGGTCAATCTTCAGTTTATTTAGTGTGATTATCAAAGAAAATCTTTTGGTTCTTCAGTTTCACATATCTGTATTCTATTTGTTTGGCCACCATTTTTTATTTGTTTTATCCACTCGTTTTCAGGCAAAATTCTGTTGGTATTTTCTATTGTTTTGATTGCTAGTTTCCCTCTGTTTCTAGAGATTCCAATTTCTGTAAGTTGCTGCATTCAATAAACAATATTATTCTTGACTAAATAGATTGGTTGTGAGCCTGAGGAGGCACAAAAGCATGTGCTTGCTGTTGCAGGCCATGTGCCCTCCTTTATTGTGCTATTATAAACTGGACATTGAGTTCAGAGGGATGCTATTATGGTGGACTATATAATATAAACAACTGCTATTCAGATGCATGGCATTGCTGATCTATTCTACGACTCATATTAAGCTTGTATAAGAGATCATGAGAAAGAAATCCATCTGCCAATAATTTCATATTTCTTTGAATGCAGGGAATTGCTAGGAGGCTTGTGAAAGTTGCCTTGCAAGAAGCTGCTAAAAAGAGAGAAATGAGATACTCAGATTTGAAGAAAATAGATCGTGGTGTCCGCCGTCATTTCCATGATGACATCACGGTCATTGTTGTATTTCTTGACTCGAATCTCGTGAGTAGAGCCAGCTCAGTCAAAGGGCCTTCCACATCTGTGAGAGGGGGTGGAATTAGCCTACCTGCAAAAACCCTAGCTCCCTGTGCCACGCCAACAGAAACTTAGTACAGCTAATGTAGCTGGTATTTGATAATGTTTTCCCATGTGCAGGATCCTTCTTAGAACTCCATGTACAAGCTGGTGGCTACTGCTAAGAGAAGAGCAAGAGAAGAAAAGGTGCCTGCCCTTTGATTAATTTTCTAATGTACAATGTAAAATTTTAACTTGAAATATGTATTTTATTTAGTTCCTGAGTTTAAAGGAAAAGGAAGGGATCAAGGGAAAAAGAGAGCTATAATGCAAAGAAGACATTTAGGTTCTTTCTTTAGGAAAATTTTCTTGATGCATTCATTTAACTCTCTTTCCTGACCTCTCTTGGATTCTCTCTCTCTTTTTTTTTTTCCTTTTTCTTTTTCTTTTCCTGTAAATTATGTGAAACAGATGCCACTTAGAGTCAAAGTTTTTATGTACCTGTTTGCACTTCGTGCTACACATTGTAGAGTGCAGTGGTTATAAAACCTTTCCTTTTCCATTTCTAGAGCCATGGTGTGGTTCAGTGGTTGTGTTCACTTGCTTTCTTTTGTCGGTACATTTACTGTGCAGAAAAGGTGGAATTTTGCATAGAATGTAAAAAATTTGACATGTCATTGTCTACAAAAATTAGGGAAGCATCTAGCTTTTTGACCGTGGTTAAAAAACTCTGTGTTATTAGTTTACAGTTACTGTAATAAGACAGTTAATATTGTCGAATAGGGTGTTAGATTATGTGATGTTGGTTTTGGTTGGAATGCTAGTGAATTCATTGTTATAAGGACAAATGCTTAATAATAAAATTCAGTTCAGTATATGAATTTTTGACTTACCTTTCAATTTTTTTTTTTTTTTCATATTTATGAATAGCAAAATTATGACTGTAACTATACTCTTACTCCTTTTTTTTTCTTTGAAGGAAAAAATATCATGTAAGGGTAAAATATAATTTCAATAATCTTTTTCCATTTTCTTTTCAAATTAAATATAAAATGACTTGAGGGTCTTATAATTTAATGCTTCTCATACTTATTCTCTTCCATTTTTTTTCCAAGAAATGAAGGGAAATAAGTGGATATTCCAGCCTTGTTGATGGCAAATATTTCTTATTCAGGGAGAGAAAATTAGCATGAAACAACAGAATGCTTACTTAAAATCTTGATATGCTAGCCTGCATTAATTGTTTTACAATTGGTATGATTTTCTGCGTATTAAAGCATAAATTTGACCATGTACTTTTAGTGATTGTCTTTGAGCTCCTATTGAGCTTTACAGGGGATTTATTATGATTTTGCACTTTTATATTTTAGTAGTAACTATGTCATTCGCTAAAATAAAATGTGAAAGTACATGATCATGATTGAACTCTCACAGAGTTATTTCATTTGGCGAGGAATATAGTTATTACTGAAATGCGAAAGTATATAGTCGTAATTTAATCATGCAAAGGTCATGATTAAAAGCTAAGGTCATGATTAAAAGCTGCGACTATAAGTAAAATCAGCTGAAATTTAAGGTTAAATTTACACGTTAGGTCGATATTTTCTGCTCCTATCTTTTGTTCAAAGTTGCTCTCTAGTGGGTCAAGAGAACAAAACAAAAAGAAAAAGGGGAAGTTTTCTTCAAGTAATTTTATTGATTCACTCTTTACAATAACCTCATATATTCAAAAATATTATTCCTCAAATGCTCCTAACAAGTGAAAAAAACATGATTAACGAGAATTTCTTGTCTTGCACTTATTAATCAGATGGATATAATATATCTGTTACATAATTATTTTTTTAGTAATTTTTCTTGACATTATATATTAATGTTATGTTGTGTGATAATTCTTTCCTCATTGCATGAATTATATAATTAATATGGGATAATGTGTTTTTTTTTTTTTTTTTGACAGTTATATAATTAATGTTATGTTGTGTGATAATTCTTTCCTCATTGCATGAATTATATAATTAATATGGGGAATGTGTTTTTTTTTTTTTTTTGTTTCCAAAATTTCAAAATGTTTTTTTTTTTTTTTTGTTTCCAAAATTTCAAATTTTACTTCCTAATAGTTGTTCACTACTTTTTTTTTTAGCATGGCAGCTTTTTGTCTTCTTTAATCCTTCAAATGGCATATGTAAAGTTAGCAGCTACTATCAAAAATTAAAAATATGAGAATTATAACTATTTTTAATAATTTTATGCCAATTGTTACCCTTTTCAAGTCTGAGCATAATGCTTAGATTGGGCAAAAGAATTTGTAATTTACTGTACAAATGAGAACAAAGATATATAATTTCTGTCTCATGGCATTTATTTACCCAAATAAAAATAGGCATTTCTGTATTTTATGGTGGAGGAGAGATTTCCAAGACAGCATTTGGCTGCTTTGCTTTTCTTTTCTGAAGTGGCATAGCATTTTCACATTAACCCATGAGAGGCTCAATTCTCCCTTTTCTCATTCTTCTTTATTGGCACAATTCTCAACATAATAATACTACCATCATTTTTCAGTTCCTTCATGTCTGCCATGGCCTAAATTTCAACAAATTATTTCTGCATTCAGGCAGAAGTGGCCACGGTTTCAGAATCCCTTGCTCCGGCTTTAAAACCGATAGTTTTGATTTTAAATAATATAAAATTAAAATTAAATTAAAAATTGACAGTTTCGGCGTCGATTTAGTGCTAGCCGATTACGGTTTTGATTTCAGTTTTTTAACGGTTTTAAAACTGACGCTTCTACGAGGTTTTTTGATCAATTTGCCGGGCAGTTCTCATGATTTTAAAACCAAAAAACTAATTTGCACAAATGCCCTTAACATAACTAGACATTATATAGTGATTTGTAATTATAACGAGGGTTAATTTGGAGATTTTGATGAAAATTTTTGAAAAGATAAAAAAATATGTTGGAATCGGTTCGAACTGCTGGTTCTAACCGGTTGTCAAAATCTTCGCTTCTGGTCAGTTCTCGGAACCGCCATTTCATGGTTCCAAAAAACTTAAAACCAGAACCGAACCGCAACCTCCCAGTTTCGATTTCAGTTTTGGCCAATTCTGGTTCCATATGGTTTTGGTTCCGGTTCCAAATCAGCAAATTTAGTTCCAAAAATTGAAATTTGGCCACTCCTACGTTTAGGTTCATAAATATTACTCTCTTTCTTTGAAAATATAAGTCGTTTAATATTTTTACACTCAGTTGTTAGAATCATGGTTGTTATTTTAATTTTTTTATATCAAGATTTTAGTTAATGATAATATAGTAGTTTAACTATTACAATTTATTGACGAAGAAGCATTTAATAGTAAGGATAAAATAGTAAACTGTAAATGTTATTAACTTCTAAATAAGAAAACAAGACAAGAAAATTTGAGATAAATGAAAAAGAAAAATATGATAAGAATTATGAGACTAAGGGAGTACTTTTTATCTAAAAAAAATGTAAATGAGAAGGTAATTCTAGGAATATAATTTTAGAATTGAAGAAGCATTGTTTAGGAGAATTTATTATTTTCTTGATAACTATAGAAAAATTTTAAACATTACTTCCTCCGTCCCAAAATATAAGTCATTTTGGAGTGATTATTTTGTCTCAAAATATAAGTCATTTTGGGTATTTCAACTAGTAATAAATGATGTTTTTCAATATTACTTTTTTTTTTACACCAGATATAATAAGTACTTTTACAAGATACTCTTAGATTTGAAATAAATGAAATTTAATTCAATTGCTCTTGATTTCGTTGTAATTTAGGAAAATTAACTATTTTCTTAATTTTCGTGTAATATACTCAAGTGATAGATGAGAGTTATTTTAAATTAGATTTTTTTTTCCCTCTTCAACCGTGCTGTTTTGAGTTTGAGTTGAGTTCTAGTTAAATTAACCTAAGCTCAGTTATGGACCCATGAAAATATATTTTTTTATTGCAAATTAACCCTTAATTTAATTTTTGGGTGTAAATACTCTTAACCTTTCATTTTAGAGTGTGGTTGTCACAAAGTTCAAATTAGAGTATAAGTGCAACAAACTCCAAAATTCGGGGTATAAATGTATATTAAGTCAAAAAAAAAGCAAAAATTTTAACTATATTAACTAAATTTTCTCAATCTGTATATAAATCAAATCAGGACAAAAATTATGAGGCGTAGAGAGCAATATTATGGAATGTTAAGGATCATAATCTTAGAGTATAAGATGGTCATATTCTTGACTGCCTTGGCCAACCTATTGAATTATCATTTTGTAAGAGAGTGTAGTTTCTTTCTTCAACTAATTTAAGCTACCGCTCAAGGCTTGATTCAAAAAACAGTTGTTTAATAAATTTAATAAGCTAAATTAATTTATCGAGTTCGTTTGATAAATGAGTTGAGCTCAAGTTCAATTTTAAGCTTGTAAAGAAGAATATAAATTATAAAAGAATTATATAAGCTCGAGTTTACCGATATATTTATCGAATTGAGCTTATTTGAGCTCACACTCAATAATATTTACTCAACTAAACTCGTTTATAATGCTAAATGATAATTTGAAGATATCTATTCAAACAATCTTTGAAGATTATATGTACTTCTAAAATTTAAGGGACAAGCTTTAATCAATCGTCCCTTAAATCATCATTGCTTTGAAAAGGGTGTGAGGATTTTAAACTTTTTTTTTTTTTAATAAAAGTATTTGTGCGAGAGAAAGAAATAATCCTTGACATTTCAAAAAGAAAAAAAAAAATCTTTAATTTATATTTTATGTGGTGTGAGATTATCACCGTGCAAAGTGGTTAAAGTGGACATTCCGTGATTGAGCTATAGCCTCATGATAAGGTTTGATTTTGCATAGGTCATAGAAGGAGTTACAACCTTTTGTCAATTCATGGACCAATGTTGTCTCCTGTACAGTGCTGAAGGTGGGGTCCTCAGCACTACAATTGGCCATGGCTACTCTTCTTTCTTTCTTTCTATATATATATCTTTTTGATCCATTGAAATATTTCGCAAAACAACAATGAATTTATGAATTATGATTACATATTAATTGACCTCTGCCCCACTCAATCTCTAATTAGGTTCATGACAGGCCAGTAATTATGTATCTGCATTATTAGATTATCATATGTAATAAAGAAAAACTCCTAACTCACCGACAAAATTTTATTCCAAAAACCGCGTTTTGCTCAAAGGACATTGTAATTTTTAATTGTATACAAATGCTTTATAAATTTAATTTTTTATTTAATTTTTTATACATCTTATAAAATATTTAGACAATTCTTTATAAATTTCTGTATGCTTGAATTTGTTTAAATTTTATTTTATTATCAAAATTGAATTGAATTTCAAAATAAAAAAATAAAAGCCATTGAGTTTTAACAAAGTTTTGAGTTTTCCAATTGCATAATATATTCTATGGAGTCCACTTTTCTCTGAAACACTCGTGAGATAGACCTTAATTTCATATTTTGGCCTCGTAAAGATATATTTTTATTACTATAAAGTTTTTATATTATAATAATAACAATTGTTTTTTTGCTTTTGAGATATGGTTGGATCTCGAAAAAATGACCTACTCTACCTGTTCATCTTTCGAGAGTATATTTATATATTTGTTCCTGATCATAATTTAAATAGATCGATTTTACTAAAAAATGTAAATTATGTCAATAAATCTAATTTTTTAATTATAAAACGTTTAGTAACTCGAACCTATCAATAAAATCGTTTTTTATTTCTTCTTTCTATTAATATTCTAACCAAAATTCATTTTTTAAATACAATAATAATTTGTATTATCAAATGATATTGGAGAGGTTTGTAGTTGTTATGGAAATTCCATTTTCTATATATTGATTTCATTTTCAGTTTAAGCTGATTAAGAATTTTTTCCAAAATCTTTTAGTTTTAGTTTATCAAATAAAAAATTAATTTTTAATGCCATAAGTAAAAATTGACGCAGTAATAATACTTTGATGGGAAAATCAAGAAATGTTACTGCTAGCTAGGCAATAGCATCTATGACCTAGGTTGAAGTTACTAATATTTTAGTTTCATGGCAACTGTATATAAACAGAACAACAAAGCAAGAAATCCCAATCCTCTCTCCTTCTCTTTCTTTGACATGTTTTGAGCTGATGGTGAATTTCTTGAACCTTTCTTTTTGTTCTTCAACTACTCACTGTCTATAGTCTACTGTAAAGAAAAATCTACAAAAATCTCTCTCCATATAGTAATGAAATAAATGGGATATCCTTTTATAGACGACTAGCTTTTCAACACTGTTACAAACAAGATTCCATTTGAAGAACAGCAATGCTCCTAAATGACCCATGAACAAGCAAAGCACTGGTTTTTGGTACCCAAATTTTGGTTGGTTGTTTGTCTCTTTCTTTCATCTTCTCTGACAATTACCCAGCTGTTCTTTTTCAACCTTACCTGAAACTCAATCGCCCTTCAAGCTAAAATCCAAATGATCAATTACCTCTTCCAGTCCACCACTACTATTCTGTTTGTATCTGTTACTACTATATACTAATAATTGTTATAGTTCTCCCCAGCTTTTTCATGTACTTCACAAGTTTGTGCTATGACTGTCAAAACCCTCCTCCATTTTAGCAAAAACCCCATTAAAGTTTTACCCATAAGACAATAAAAAAAGACACTTTTTTTAGAGAGAGGAAATGGGGTGTGGTTTATCAAAGCAAGATGAAGAAGATGATGTTGTTTCATTGTGTCGAGAAAGAAAAAGGTTGCTTAAGTTAGCTTTACAGAAAAGGTATGCTTTTGCTGATGCTCAGTTTAAGTATAATCAGTCTCTTTATGCAGTAGCAATGGCTTTGAGGTTGTTTGTGGCAAGACATTCTTCTCTTTCTTCTCCTTTTTTAATTACTTTTCCTTCTAATACTGATTCTACTAATCTTGTTGTTGATTCCAACGAGACATTAAACAATAATCCATGTTTTCTTCAACAAAGACCAACTGAGCCTATCCATGAAACTATTGCACGTTCCACTAATTTAGAGACTAAAGTAGAAGGAACCCATGAAGATAAGAATAATGCTAATGGTGATTGTGAGGAACAGGAGGAGGAATCTGAGGAAAGTGAAGATGGAGAAGAGTTCTGTCAGCATTTTTATGGCCAGGAGAATGTGGACCCAGTAGTGTCGTCACTACAGAGGCAATTTGGGTGGGATTTCTTTTACCCATTTGATGAAATGAGATCAGAGGTTTTAAATGAGCTTAGTCAAAGTTCTTATGAAGATTTGAAGGCTGTAAGAGAGAAAGAAGGGATTCCAGATTTAGAAGAGGATGGGGAGAAATTAATAATGAATAAGATTGAAGTTGTGAATGAGAAAAAAAATGGTGATGTTGGTAATAATAAGGAGAATGGAATTGAAGATTTTAAAACTGGAGATAATGCAAGTGTGAGTCAAGAAGAGAGTAAGGGATTGAAAGTGATTGATACGCCCACAAATGGGAGAGAATTGTTGGAAGCATTGAAAGATATTGAAGACCATTTTCTTAGGGCTTATGAATCTGGTTTGGATATTTCAAGGATGCTAGAGGCCAACAGAATTCATTTGCAGTCTGGCTTAGAAGAAATCAAAGGTGAGTTCTTCTTTTATCCTCATTTTCTGCTCTTTGCAATTGGTTGCAAAATTCATTATATATATATAAGAATTCATTTGCAAGTTCTGCTTTAGAAGAAATCAAAGGTGAGTTCTTCTTTTATCCTCATTTTTCTGCTCTTTTGCAATTTGGTTTGCAAAATTCATTATATATATATTATATATATATAAATTATATATGGTTGGGTTGAGGGAATTGTAACATTGTTTCTATGAATTAAAAAATTGACTAATTACAGTACGTCTATGGCCATGAATTTACTGTTAACATTGTAGGCTGTGTAGACTGATTGTTGAAGTTCTCCATCTCCTTGAATTGAGATGAAACAGTGCTATCTGCTCTAGCCATTTTCATTTGAAAAGCATCTTCTTCTATGTAAAAACTGGAAGGAAATGGAATATATGGTTGGGTGAGAAATTGTAACATTGTTTCTATGAATTAAAAATTGACTAATACAGTGAGTCTATGGCATGATTTACTGTAACATTGTAGGCTGTGTAACTGATTGTTGAGTTCTCCATCTCCTGAATTGAGATGAACAGTGATTATCTGTCTAGCCCATTTCATTGAAATAGCATCTTCTTCTATGTAAAAACTGGAAGGAAATGGATAAATGTATAGTTTTCCCTTTTGGCAATTTTTATAATCAGGACTTTTTTTCTCAGGTACTTGAAACTGTTAAAAATTGAAATCCTCATTGTCTTTTGTACAGGGCAAATATAATGAATAACTTAACAGTTCATCCTTGATTTTTGGATGCAGAGAGCTCAACTAAGCTTATCAGATCAATTACATGGAACCGATCCAATTTATCTCGGTCTTCTTCCAGTAGAAGTCTCCTTACATCTAGTTCTGCGAATTCTTCAATGTGGACAGAACTCAAGACTGATCTGTTTGATGACTTTGGAATGGAAGCAGGAAGCCATTCGCTGACTCTTTCGAGGTTATATGCTTGGGAGAAGAAACTCTACCAGGAGGTGAAGGTAAAATATGAATCAATTATGCTGTTACTCTCTCCCTCTCTATGCTGTTCCTTATGCTAGTCATGTTTGATATTAAAAATTTTCTTTTAGTGCTTAAACATATTCACAGTTCCTTTAAACATGTTATAGTCCTTGTCCTCAGGCTGGAGATCAGACTAGGAAAATGTATCAGAGAAAATGCTCTCATTTGAGAGGCCTGAATGGTAAAGGAGAAGACTTTTGTTCCATGGATAAATCTACAGCACAAATAAAAGAATTACACTCCAGGATCTCCGTTACAATAAGAAGTGTGGAATCAATCTCCAACAGAATAGAGAAATTGAGAGATGAAGAGCTGCAGCCGCAACTTCTTGAGCTGCTTCATGGGTAAGAAAAAAGTGTTAGAAATGTATTGCAAGGATTTATGCGTCTGAAGTTAAGATTTAGTTGTTTGATGACTTTGATTCATCCACTTCTGCAGACTAATGAGAAACTGGAAGGTAATGTTGGAATCACATGAAACTCAAAACCGGCTAATGCTTGAAGTGAAAATTTTCAATTGTCCAGCTTATGGGAAGTTCTGTAATGACTCTCACCGTCTTGCCACTCTTCAGCTTGAGGCAGAACTTGACAATTGGCGTGTCTGCTTTGCTATGTATCTATCTTCACAGAAGGCCTATGTTGAATCTCTTAGTGGTTGGCTGTCCAAGTTCGTCGCTCCTGAAGTTGAATTCTACTCCAGGGGAAAGACTTCAATCCCGCCATTTAGAATTAGTGGGCCGCCATTGCTACTAACCTGTCATGGTTGGTTAGCTTGGCTGGACAAACTGCCAGATAATTCTGTGACATATGCAATGAAGAACTTTGAGCGGGATATACATTCCCTATGGAATCAACAAGGCAAAGAGCAAAAGCAGAAGAGGAAAGTTGAGGGCATAGCCAAAGAACTCGACAGGAGGGCTCTGGCATTCCAAAGTGCTGAGAGGAGGATTCTTGGATCCAAGATTTCTGAACAGGAATCAGAGGCTAGTGTGCGTAATCGTATTGAGTACTTGGCAGAAGGGAAAAAGCTATTGGATATGTTCAGGAACCGCCTCAATGAAGAGAAGGGAAAGCACCTTAATACCGTGCAGGAGACTCAACAAATCACTGTAAGTGGATTTCAGACAGGATTTTCTTCGGTTTTTGAGTCGTTGGTCGAGTTTTCTAATGCATCTGTTAAAATGTATGCTGATCTAGTAACATATAGTGCAAATGCCAAGGAAGCAGAGAAAGTTGACGACAATCTATCCTATATGGATGGGATGTTCTCTTAGGTTCTAAGTTTAAGGAAACAAGTGAAAATGGAAAGTAGGTTAAGATTTGAGGATCTTAAGTTTTTCAATCCTTTGGCTTCCCAGATATAAATAGTGTGTACAGAGATTGTCAAAACATTTATAGCATGCTCTTGCTTATATATGCAGCTCTCTGGGGCAGCTATTTGTGTTATAGTGCCAAATTTTTTTGCTTGCCAATGGATTTTCTCCTTGCAAAACAAGAAGGAATTCTTTGTTCAAGTATATTTTTCCTTTATGTGAAAAGTTGAAGTTACAATTTCTTCCTGCTTTATTATGTTTTCTATATCTCACATTATTGATTAATATAGACTATAGAGTTCTTTGTACAGTAAATAATGCTTTGAGCTCTCTCCTCTAGTGGCTAGTTAAATGCGTCTTAAAAGCTTGTCATTATAGCACTTGAAAACTCATATGCAGATTTGGGTTTTTGAGATTGCCTGGAAATAATGTGCTAAGTTTAATGCAGGTATTTGAAACCCACATTTGTTGTAGACTGTAGTTTTTCTTGTCTATAACATGACTTCTTTGTGAGTTTTAAAACCATGATTTTCCATACCTGATTGAGATTAACCAAAATAAAAATTTCTTTTTCCAATTTTAAATGAGCAATGCACCACAAAATCTCATAAAAAATATATAAATATAAAGATATAGAAATAATCACAGGTCTTCATCTGATATCTTTTTTACTTGTTTCCTCGCTGATTCCTGTCAAATTGTTATCAATATCAATGCTGAAACTAGTAGCCTCAAAACACCTCAAGCTTGCACTTTGAAAAGAAAGGTTATCCATCTCTATATGAAATCTTTGCAATCCAACACCATCAATGCTCACAAAGCTCTGAGAATCAGAGTCTGTTGATCTTTGTGGTCTGTGATCTGTCAACCGATAAGATCTGGCAGATGATGCCTTAGAACTCCTTGAAGGTTCTTTTTGATTGAATCTATCAGCTGCATATAAAGTCTCTTCTAGCTCTTGCCACACCTGAGTCATTGTAGGTCTATCTTTGGGATTTTGCACTACACATCTTAGACCAAGTTGCCCCATCTTTAGCATTACTTCCATATTGCATGGCTCTACTAAAAGGTTTGCATCTAATATTTCTGCAACATTGCTCCTCTCCAAGCTAGGCCTTGCCTGCATTTTTACCAACATATATATTATCTCCTACATCCTCTGTCATTGTTGTCAAAACAATTTAGGTTATGTTAAAAAATTTTAATTTAAAAAAAAACCTTCAAATTCATGGATTAATCTCTGTCGATCAAACATAAACCTCCACAACAAGAAAAATCTTGAGCTTGTATTCTTTAACACGGTGATAATACTAGTTTATTAAGGGTTTGTTCGACAATATTAGCTGTAACTTACCCATTCAATTATATGATAGTTGGCTTCATTCCTACTTGAGTCAACTGCAGGCCTAGCAGAAACAAGTTGCAGAAGGATAACTCCGAAGCTGTACACATCACTAAAGGGACTCAAATGAAAGCTGGAACAGTAAGCAGGATCAAGGTATCCTGGTGTCCCTTTAATCTGACTGCTAACATGAGATTGATCTCCAATAGGTCCTAGTTTAACCAGTCCAAAATCTGAAACTTTAGCTTCAAAATCATCTCCTACTAAGATGTTACTCGGCTTTATATCACGATGGATTATGCTAGGCTTGATACCATCATGCAAGTGTGCTATTCCTGAAAATATTTTGCAGAAAATACATCAATTAGTCATTTGCATCAATTGATTTCTGAGAGATTATTACTGCATATGAAAAAGTTCATGCCTTTGGCTGCTCCAATGGCTATGTTTACTCTTTGCCTCCAAGTTAGGCTTCTCCCTCTTCTTCCTACATAGTAATCATCCAAAATGAGAATCAAACATTGCATATCTGCTTCTCTTTCTTATTTTATGAGTTCAACCCATTGAGCTACAGGCAAGAGCTTACCGATAATGTACTCGAGAAGAGAGCCATTTGGAACATACTCATAGACCAGTAGTTTTGACCTTCTGCCTCCTGTTTGAATCACCATTGAACATTGAATCAATTTTCTGTAATTTTATCAGTCACTGAATTCTTTAATTTATGAAATGTTCTCTTGGGTAATGAGTATTAGTAATGTACTATTTACCAGTCTCTTCACAATATCCCACCAAACTTACAAGGTTCTTGTGCTTGACTTCGGAAAGTAACTTCACTTCTGTTTCAAGAAAACACCAAAAAATGGATTACTAAAAACAGTAACTTAAATGTGATTTCTAAAAATAATCACTAATCACTAAAACAGTAACTTTTATCTACCATTTCTAAATTCTTCAACACTTTGGAATGAATCAGCATGTGCTTTCTTTATTGCTAGAGTACCTTCTACTTCAAAGTTCCCTTTGTAGACATTACCAAATGCACCAGAACCCACCAAGCATTCTTCACTGAAACTATTGGTAGCCCTTTCTAACTCCTCTAATTGGAAATTTCTTAATGACAATACTTCATCTTTCAAACTTCCTAATTATAACAAACAAGTTTATTAATGCACATGATTAAGAAAATTAAATGATACCAAATCCTAATCTTTATTATTTCATTTATTATTATTGAATAAGAGCAGTAATAGCTAACCTTTTCGGTTCCGGTAGCTCCTGCGGCTTTGCCGAAAATGTGGAAAGAGCTTTCTCCTAAAAAATAAACATAATGAAGAAGCTACAGAGAATACTACAATGGCAATTATAAGAGCTCCCCATACATGTTTATGCTTTGGAGGAGGAAGAGTGGAACTTGTGGGTGGTAATTGCGATTTTGCCACCATTAATGCTGGTGGATCCGCCGCCAAGTGGTGTAGTTTTCTCATCTTAGCAAAACAAGCATAAATTTGCTTCTCACTAAAAGAAAAAAGATGTCAAACTACTACCTTACTTCCCTATTCTTGCATTTCGTTTATCCATATTCTTGAAAAGAAGAGTGAGAGAATCAAAAAGGGAATGTTAGCAGGAAGAAGATAAGTTTGTGAACAATAAAGATTGAAGTTGAACCATTTGCCGGCAGAGCATTTGTCATAAAATAGTCAAATATATTCTATAGAGTCGCTCTTTTTTGTCATGGAATTGACTCTGTCTTCTCTTTGGACGGCACATATGCCATGGAAGCTTGCATGTATATCTAATATATTAATAATTTTCTATTTTTGTAAGATGATGAGCCAACATATTCATCTCTCTAAAAATATATTATTCTTTTTTTTTTTTGAAAATTCAAATTATTATCTTTAAAATGTAAAGCAAGTGTAATATGATTAGTCTTCTTACTAGTGTGAGGAGTGAGAAGTCTCGATTTTGAACCTTCTCGACTATAAAAATTTTCACCAATTTAATATTTTGTAGCACATCATATTATTTCGACGCGTTTAAACATTCTAACGAATCAAAACAATTTATTATCTTTAGAATAAAGATACAGTTTCTATTTGTTTATATAATATAATATTTTCTCCTTATCAACTATAGAATTTCATTATAGTTGTCTAATTACAACTATTAAAATTCAATTCATCAAGAAAAATTATTATTTATATATTTATATATCATTTAAAGCCAAAACTCTATTGTGAGTCCGTGACTAGATAAACATCATTGTTTTACTATTTTCATGAATGGAAAATAATTATTATTACTATTTTTATGAATGGGGCCACCAGATGATGAAAATATTCTTATTTTATATAATATATACTTCCAAAAGTTTGAATTAATTAATTGTAATTATTTAGAAAATTGACAGTAAATGTATAATAAGAACCCACAATCTATTTAATCATATTCTAATACCTATTGGACCAAGTAAATAGGAAGGATTACATATTAATTTATGATTATGATGTCCATTAGCAGTTGTTCTATCTCTATTAATTAACTTAATCATAAATATTAATTAATGCAATTATCATAATTGTGTATGTAATTTAATTAATGGTCTAACCTCAGTTGTTGTATGAGAGATTCCCATAGAAATAATATATGTATGGTGAAATTTTGCCTTATTGGCAAACTCCAGAAGATAAAATGTAGCCGTTTAATTGAATGTGCAGTGTAATTTAGGCCAAATGACAAAAATAAAATAAAATTTCAACTTTAATATTTTTTTTATTCATTTGAGATGTCCTATAGGTCGAAATACTATGATACGCTATAGAATAGGAATAATACTCCTCTTAGCTCACCGAACACTTTTGTAATCGGAAGTAGTAGAACTCGAGACCTCCCACGTAAACGAACCAGACTAAGGGTGAGCAAACTTTGGAAAGAACCGAAAATAAAATGAAACCAAATTATTTTTGGTTATTTAATTTTCAGTTTTGGTTTCGATTTCCAATCTTCTATTTTCAACCTATATTTTTAGAAATACTAATTTTGTCTTTATATTTTGTGTTATTTATATTGTTATATCCTTCTATCAATTTTTTATATTCTTTTCATCAAATAAAAGGATAAATTAGTTAATATTGCAAGATACGTGGATAAAGTATTAATATATCAATAAAATGTACAGAAAAGCAATGAACATAAAAGAAAAAAATAAAATTTTGTATTTCTAAAAATACAGGGATAATATTATATATTATAGTAAAATACAGTGATAAAATTGTAGATTTTACCTTTTATTAACTCAGAAAGGCCTAAAGTTTGGATTTTTCTTTTCTTTTCTTTTCTGTTCCTCCCTGTCCTTGAAAGTTCTTAATGAAGAATGGAAAATGTTAGGTCATACACACATGTAATGTCATTTTCTAATTTTTTTTTTTCTTTTCCAAGTTAATTAATTAATTAATTAATTAAAGATCATTTGACTTGAACTTTTCATTACTGTTCAACATTGTTGCCCTAAAGGCAAAGGCAAATATATCAAATCATTGAATGGGATGCAACATGTGATGTTTATCACATGAATGTGCTTCTTTTTAGAGAAAGAGAAGCTACAAGGTAGACCTCTAATTATTTTTAAACTTGAAAATATTCTTCAAATTCAAGTTCAAGAACATTTCCCCTCAAAAAAAAAAAAAAAAAAAAAAAAAAAAAATGAACTTTTCCATTACTGTTCAACATTGTTGCCCTAAAGGCAAAGGCAAATATATCAAATCATTGAATGGGATGCATACATGTGATGTTTTATCACTGAATGTGCTTCTTTTTAGGAGACAAGAGAAGCTAACAAGGGTTAGACCTCTTAATTATTTTTAAACTTGAAAATATTTCTTCAAATTCAAGTTCAAGAACATTTCCCTCAAAAAAAAAAAAAAAAAAAAAAAAAAAAAGAAAAAAAGAAAGTTCAAGAAGCATGAGATTGTTGAAAAAAAAAAAAAAAAAAAAAAAAAAAAAAGAAAAAAGAAAGTTCAAGAAGCATGAGATTGTGATGCAAATTTAATCCTTGTAGCATTAAATTTTGTATGAATAACAATTTTATAATCTTAATTTTTTAATTTATAAAATTATATTTATTGGATATTTTAATTTACAAACATGTATTTATTAAATATTTAATTTATAAGATTATATTTTATTATATAACAAATAACTTATGTCAAAAGATATATGAAATACCTTACATAAGTGTCTCATATATATAACTAACCTTAAGAGCTTTGTACGATTTTAGATTTTGAAATTTAATACTCAAACGGTATATCTCATCTACCTAAATAATTTTGATTGTACAATTCGTACCCAAAATTTATTTATTTATTTATTTTTTGTACCTGGGTTATTTGTTTGGTCTAAGGTAGTTGAACTTTTGGTTAAATTCAAATTGTAAATGGGCATGTTGAGGCAAATACATTATAATAATAATAAAGTAACTAAATTATTAAATACTAATATATGATAAAACTGAAAATTAAATGCTAAAAATTCAGGATTTTGACAAAAATAATGCTCTTCAAAAAACTATTTTCCAATATAATTTTATTTCAAAACTATTTACCAATCTAATGTTTGTCCTGCTATGGAGAGAGAATGTTACACTAAAATTATCAACTCAATTTGTAGTTTCAGTGCAATTAAAAAAAAATAATTTATACTGACAAACAGTCAGCAAAAAGTAATTATATGAATAAAAAATAAAATTTATTTTGTATTGAGACAATCAAAAGTAAATTAATTATATGACAAGCAATCACCAATTGAATAAAGTTTCTTAAAAAATTAAAAATATTTTAGTATTCTTATATTTCATAATGAATATAACAATTTAAACTTTAATATCAAATTAGTGATCGATTGTATGAATTTTTTATTTTCATTTCGTGTGTTCGATAACTAATTTCACACTCACATCAAAAAGTAATAAAGTATAAGAAATGAAAAAATAAATACTATACACTACATTTTTAACACAAAAAGTCAATAACAAATAATTTTTGTGGCTAAAAATTTTGGACTTTGACTTGATTACTTTCGGTGAGGGCAATTAAGAAGATTGTAGAAAAAAGGGAAATACATAACACATAATACCCTCAAATCACATTTTCCAAGTTGATCACCGACCACGTGTGTCATAATTGAAAATTTTGTCTTTTTTTTTCTGTTTTAGTATAAATAAGAGTATAATTTTCGAGGGTAAAATTTTTTTTATCCTTCTAATAAAGTGCACTTTCCAAGAATGAAAATTTATAATATATCCATTTATTTGCTTTTTTTTTTTTTTAATATTTGCTCTTTTCACAAAGATTAAGAAAATGATTGGAATTTATTTATTTTTTAAAAATACATAGTAAAATATTTAAATTTTCCTTCTTAAATGTAAATTAAAAATAAATTACATCTAATAAATATAGATAAAATTAAAAAAATTAGTAATCTAAAAATCCTAAATAAACATTTAAAGCATAACAAGATAAAATTTCTTTTTATTGTTATTAAAATAGAATAGAGGAAGTAGGTAAAAATGGATATTAAGTTCTATTTTCATATATGAAAATCTTTTTTGTGAATAATAATAATAAAATAATAGCATTTTGTTCTTATCTTGTTGTGAATATCCCTAGTTTGGGAAATTCAAGAACTAAAATATCTAACCAAATATCTAACCCACCCCATCTGTTCGCGCCAGGTGTACTTATTGCAAGAAACCAAAAATAACAGAAATAGTATCATACTTGCAATATGCTTGTCTTTGCGGTTTCATAAATGAGAGTAATAAATTCAAATGGTTTCATTCAACTAATGGTTTCATTCAACTCTGCCTCACAACCTTAAATGGTTTCAATTACCATTGACTTATTGTTTCATAAATTTAAGCCAACAACTACCGTCCATAAATCATTCACAATTGCTATTATAAAATTAGGGTCCCGACTGCGACTGCTGATTGCCCCTAATTCCGCCGTTGCTTTTAATTAATGTTAAAATTATTATTATTATAAAATAGAAGAAGAAGGTATTTTTTCGTGACAGAAAAATTATTCAACTTGTAATCCGGAGATTATGGTTGATTATAGTGATTATCTAATTTTGAAGAGAAAAAAGTCATATGTGAAAAACTAATTTAACGTTAACCGTGAAATCATTTTCCATTAATTAATTTTCTTAAAAATTTCGAGGTCCTGTCCGTGGATAGTTTTTGAAGTAGTGTTTACTGTTTTGAGTGATCCTTACTAAGTTTTATAAATTTTTTATGGCTTCTATAAAATACTATACACATCATCAATGTCTGCCTTATTTCCCTATGCAGCAATATTTGTTTATACCTTTTTTTATCGTTTTACATTAATCAAATAATTATTTTTGACTTTTAAGCTTTATCTTGACATTATTTTTCTTGACGTTGTAAAAGATGGAGGGTAGTAATTAAGGTGTCATGTGTCTTACAATTCAGAAAGGCAGATGATTCAAATTCTAAAAATATCCCATGGACCAAAAAAGAAACAGAGCCAAAAAGAAAAACAGTGTATGATGCTCTCTTCATTATCCCCAATGGCATGAACTAATCAATCTTGGCATCTCATTCTGCTTGATCTATTCCTTGATTAGTTCTCATTCTTTAAATCTTGAAAAAAAATTTGGAAAGCAAAAAGATTGATGAAAAAGAAAGCAATTAAAAGCTATCATAACTCAAAATTTTTATACATATCACTACTCTATAGTAAAATGTCATGGCAAATACCCAAGCTACCAGGGCAACAGGGTAACTACTCATCTAGTCATCAGAATGAACAAAACAAAGAAAGCCCTGGAAGGTAATGCCAATATACATGACAAAATATAGCCATTTCTCTTCTTGTAATTTACAGGAGAAAGAAAATAACAAAGAAAATCACAGATCCCTTCTGCATAATGGGCAAGATGCATGCCTGAGAAGCCACTTATCTATGCAAGGTAGGTGAAACATGTGATGGCAATGAGGCAAGCTTCTAACTGTCTCTCCAAGCTGAAAGTCCTGTATATATGCAAGAAATGGCAAAATGTCAATTACAGATGTGTCTTTCCTGGTTACAAATCGCACCACCAGAAACCTATGAGGCATGGACTTGGACATGGACATGCTAACATTGTTACTTTGAGAACATGACACACAGGTTGGGCGAGTCTTATCATGCCAGAAAACTGTCTAAAATGAATATACATCTAGAACTAAAGTGCTGGAGCTTCATAACAACTCACTAATTTGAATAAAGCTGTGTATTGTAATTGACAGAAATAATGTTAAGGAATCACACCTGAAGGCAGACGGAACAACCGACTTTCTCCCCTGAAGCGTCTATATTGTTATTGCTACTGATTTTGACTTTAGGGATCTTTTCAACAGAATCTCCAGGCAATCCCTTGGCACCACCAGTGTCAAAGATGTTCTGGACATCTTCAAAGGTTGTTTCAACAGCACCCATCTAATTAAGGACATTGAACATGTAAAGAATTAACACATTTGGATACTGATATTAATCCAGCAATAAAGTTAGCTTGGATAGCAAATTATTTTACCTGGCTCTGTACTGCACTTAACATAGCTGGGCCAATTCGCTCGCGAACAAGTCTCCCACTTAGGAGGCTTGCAATAACATCAATCTGCCACATTAAGGAAGTTTCATTACTTTCATTGCAGAAGTACTAAATTTGATAGTTCATATTGGATCAACATATTTTAAGGTTGAACAGTCAAATTCATAAAATTATCGTCATTATTAATGATAGTGATGCAGCAATTTTTATTTCCCATGACTTGTAGCGGACACCTAACTATATTATTATCACTTTTTGGTTAACTAGGCTCCAAAGGGGCCTCAGACTCTCTAGTACAACCCTGCCAAACCTCACCGGTACATTTAATGGCATTGTAAGTACATAGAAGTTGCTAAATTGCTCACCAAGTAAAGAAGACACCCGATTCCAGATTCATCTGATTGCCAAAGAAGAAGAGAAGATTCAAAGACTTCAATTGAGAAAACAGCTCCTGATATGGCTCCTACTGCAGCCCCTCTAACAAACCCACTTTCAGTTTCTTGGCCTATCAAAGCTCCTGTCATGGCTCCTAGCAAGGTGCCCACTACAAAACAATAATGCAATTCTTTAGCACATGCTCTCAAACATAGCAAAAGCTTAATACTTAGACAAAAGTTATATATATATATGCAGCAAAATGGCTTTTAGAAATGTAAGGCTTTGAAATCTTTAATTCTAAGGAACCAAACAAGATCACTTGTGAAATAATACATGATCCTAAAATCCCTTTTATAGCTTATATGGAAAGCTTTTCTCGTATATTTTGCAACCCTACAAAACAATTTTATCCATATCATTATCACCATAAAGTCCATTTGCCTCCTTAAATAAGCTTGTCAAGATCCTCCATCTAGAATTAATGGTAATTAATGGAACATAATGATACATCAAATCCAAAAACAAAGATCAGGAATTAAAGATTAATCTCAAAGCCAAAGCCCACATAACATACTACAAAACAGATCCGAGCATCAAATTCCATTCAATCAAGAAATGCATAAAATTTTTATTAAAAAGAAGAATTCCAAAGAAATGTAAAGAATACAAGAAAGAGACAAAAAGAACAAACCTAAAGCAAAGAAGAAGGTGAAGATCGCAGAGAATATATTCCCAATAATGGCAGATACTGCAAAATTACAAACTTGTTTAACTTTCTCAACAAAATCTCCACAGAAAGACAATGAAGACATAGAAAACCGAGACGGGTATGGATAAAACTCCATTTTTTTAGCCTTTAGCTTCCAATTGTACAAAACAGAAGATTATGTTTAAGGATACCTTTGATCTACAAAAGTTGGGTTTAAACAAAGACTAATTATATGTATATATATCTCTCGAGGAGAGAAGAGGTGGTGATGGGTTTATTGGTTTTGGGTATGCTTAGGCGTTAAGAGAAAAGAAATGAGAAGAGAGAAGCAAATCTATATTGATTCATCAACTACCTCGCATTTAAAGCTACTTATATTTTCTTGGAGACAACTTTCTCTATCCACCTGTTTGCTTTGAAACAAAAGCTCTTTCCTTTCTTTTTCTTTATTTTATTTTATTTTATTATTTTCCTATCTATTTCTCTTTCTTTGAAAACCAAGAAGATCTTTTTATTTTCTGAGGGAAAGAACGAAGAAAATCTTGAAACTTATATATACAGTATGAAAATCTTGAAACTTAATATAAATAAAAAATTTTTTGCTTTCAAAGACAAAGAACCTTCATTTTTGACTAATAAAGATGAGTGATTGATATATATAATTTACCCAAAATAAATATTATCATAATTCATAATAAAAAAAAAGAAGAAAAGAAGAGAAACATTTGTAAAATTCTTGCATCACTCGTTGTTTTCCACAGCTGGATAAAGAGAGAGTTGGCTGACAATAGTGATAGGCCAAATATGGTACAAGGTGTACGGATTTAGCCTATACAGCCAATTTGCTTTTAGATCCTTTTCCTTTTTTGCCATGTCCTATTCATAGAACCAAAGCACTTCATTTATTTTTTTTCTTTTTCTTTTTTTTCTTTTTTTGTGAGAGCATCATCACTTAATTTGGAAAAGTAAAGTACTTCACATTACACTTTTATTTAATATATATATATATTATATAATTTGTTCATTATTATTGAACTCAAATTCTTCATTTCATTTAATTAGTTCAATTGATTTGATCTATTGATTATTTATAAAATGGTATCATTATATTTTCGTAGTTATAATTGTATTTTTAAATTTATAAATGAGAAATTTGGTAAGAATTATTAAAATAATATAAATTATATAAGAATTTAGAAATATTTGTAAATAGATTCATTTCAATTTTCAATATTTCTAAATTCAAGTATTATGATCCACAAGTCATTACTAAAGGAAGAAAAGAAAAAACAGAAAGTTTCATTTTTTTTTTTAAACATATAAAATTAGTCATAGGACAATTCGTAGCTAAAGGATCCAATTTTAGTAAATTATGACTTTTTCCTTTCTTAAATTTTTTTTTACTTTTGAAACAAAATGGTTTTTTACATTTAAGTTTAACCAATTCTTTCCAAATTTTGGGTAATTTTTTTTTTTTTAACTAATGAATCCAATGAGTATCTTTGATCTCTATTTTTCTAAATGTAATTCTTTTACTTTCTTTATATTTATCTGAATCGAATCGAAATGAAGTCAAATAATTCAATTAGAAAATTACGTACCTAGATTTTTTAAGAAGTGTTCTGATTTTATCTTTTTCTTTTCAAATGTATGGTCAGAAATACCATCGTTTCAATAAGAATTCTTAATTTTATTGGTTTGTCCATCAGTAGAGCTACGGACTCATTTAGATAAGTTGTTCTCATTGGACTAACCTATTTTCTTTTTTTAACACAAGCAAAACATAACCTTACATCAAGAACAATAAAAGGGTAAAAGACGAAGAGAGACCGAGTCCCATACAAAAACACGAGCATAGTTATAGGAAGCTCGAGCTGAGATATGAGGTAACCTTGTAAAGCTTTGAATTATGGTAACATGATTGATGATAGTAATGAGATGGTGCCTGCCTTTATTAACTTTATAAGGACATCAAAATATCTCTAATTGATGAAACCATGAAAAAGAAAATATCAGTTGGGTTATTTATGAGACTGTGAGTCATGAAACCAATTAAATCCTTACCATATAGACCATTATTAAATAAGTTAATGACACTAACACTTCAAGTCTTATTTTCTGTATCTTAATCTTAATGGTTAAGTAATCACAATTATTTATTTATTACTTCCATCATTCTATTTGCACAGAAAAATTTTCTTTTTTAGATGTTTTTTTATATCGAGAAATTTATTTAATTTGGTAATTTTGGAAATGGAAAGCATGCCAAAGCAAATAATTCATATTACCCTCGTGTAATTTATGAGTAAAACTTTCACCGTAGAAAAATATCAAGATAGCGGCGGATAAAAAATTGGATACTCGTTTCATGCACTTATACTATCGTAGAGTATTTGTTAATAATTTCAATCTCTTCTCGATTAGTTAACGTGCATTATTTGGCAATACGTGCACTGATTTGATTAGGATAGCAATTTCAAATGGCTGCAGAAATTTGAATTTAGCAATTTGTCAATCATACCTTTCTTTTCTCCTGTCTGTATCTTGATACTCATATGAGTATACACGTACTGTACTGGATATTGAAAAGATGGAAAATATTCAAATTGTTGCTGCTAACGTGACAAAATGAGATTATCAAAGTGACAAAAATTCAAACAATTAAGCTTTTTTCAATAGACAAATTTCTAATCAACGAAGGAAGAAAATCCAATCCTCAATTCAAATATATCTAAAAGAATTGATTTTTAAGTTGGTACATCAGAGAATTTTGATTCTCTTCTTATTCATGAAGATTTATTTTTTTAAAAAAACGTAAATTAAATATTAAATAAGTCAAAATGCACAAGTCGAGTAGATTACGTATATATATATGCATTCAACAGCTAAAATTGGAGAATTTATTATTAATTTAAAAGTTCCGTAATAACAAAGTTTTTTCTTTAAATAAAATAAAACATATATATTTTCTTCAAAATATAAAAACTATCCACAACTCAAGCAAAATAATCTTTTTTTTCTTAAAAAAAAAATTTGGAGGTAGTCTTTCTGTTGAATTTTCTACTGAGAGATAAGCATAACGTGATTGTCGAAAAATTCAACTCGTGCAAATTCTTTAATGTATGTTTAGGAAAGGTTCAACACAAACGCGTATCAAATGCCTTCAACACGCCATTTCTGGCCAAAGAATGTTAAGTTAGGCACAGAATACTTCAAAGATACACACTCTTTCTTCGACCTCAGTTGCTGCTTCTTCTCTCCTTTTTCAAAGCAAATGACAATTTTCCTTTTAGATATTTTGACATTTCTATTCTCTTTCTGAAATTGATTTCAACACTACTTAGGCTTTTTTTGGGAGGTAGGTATTGGTTACTTGATACCCCATCAAAAATAAATTTTAGGTTAGTTAGCTCAATTCGGTCAAATGATTTAAGTTACTTTGTAAATAATCAAAATTTTTACTAAAACGTAATTTAGCCAAATTAATGAATATTTTTATTACAATTTAAGAGAATTAATTGTTTCTTTAATCATAATGCAACAATTTTAAACGACTTATATTTATGGACGAATGAAGTGTTATTTAATTCTGGTTTGAATAATATCGATGAATTTAGTTATTTGATATATAACTTTACCTTATAGTTAAAATTCACCTATAAATACAATCTATTTTCATGAATTTTCATTGCATCAATTATGTTTTTAATTTTAATCAAAACGTTCCCTCCCGAGTGTTTTAAAGAATTTCATACTTAAGGTTAGAATTCGAGTCATCTGATTAAGAAAGAATGGATCTCTGTCATCTCAGCTCACTTTTTAGGATATTGCATCAATTATATTAGGTTGAAGAGCGGGAGTTAAACACATGATCACATATTAATCTTTATCAATGTTTGTTATTCTAATCTAAAAAGTATATTAAATGTTAGCATATAGCCAATGACATTGCAAATAGGCCAAATGCATACATTAATTCATTTACTTTAAATAAAAAAAAATTATTCTACCATCAACGCTTTGACCAATTGAACATCTCAACTTATAAAAATTTTCACCTATTGAACATTTTAACTTATAAAATTATTTTATTTATCTATTAAATATTTATTAGACAGTTGAAAATTTTGAAAATCATTATTGTAAAATTGTACTAACCGCACATCAAATTAATAATTTACATATAAACATCAAAAATACTAAAAATTTATTACTGGTAGTATTGGGAGGTGCAAAATGTTATTAAAATTTATAATTTCTAGGGCATAATTCATCTTCTTCAAAATGCCATACAATTTTTTTTATGAAGTATACCGATGAATTTATATATTTATCCATAACAATTATTAAGTTAGGTTCATAACATAATTTAACTAAAAATTAAAATTGAAATTCATCTCAATTTTAGCATAGATAGAGAGGTTGAGAAGGCAAATTAATTATTTTTTCTTTTTTTGAATATTGGGAAAGGAGGGATTTGAACTTGAATGTACTATTAAATCGTAGAACATTTACCGTTAAGCTATGTTTTAGTGTCTAACAAAAAAGGCTACGTTAAGTTATTAATACATACAAAAGAAACGTCCACATAATCATAAAAGTATGTATATATAATAATTAATTAATTATTTGCCAATGAAAAATTAAGTATAAGGTCACAATCAATTAGGATTGCTATATTTTTCATAGAAATTGAAGTTGTAACTAAATAGTATTAAAAACTATACCATAAAAGCTTAGGTATAGGTTAATTAATTCTAAACGTAGAAACGATTTGACAATAAATCTACCTCTAATACTAATTAAATTATTAATAAATACAAACGAAACTTGTACATAATAATCATTCTCTCTACGGTCCATAAAGGAAACATGTGAAGAGTAACTAAACTAATAATCATTCTCTCTACCTAATTAAATTATTAGGGTTGCCATATCTTATTTGGAAGTTGAAGTTGTAACTAAACTAATTAAGTTTTCAAAAAATATACATGATAAATGCTCTTAAAGGAGAAATGTATGAAGCTTTTAAGGGAAAAACATTTTTAGTGGAGATTTTATCCATCCACAGAAATGGAACGTTCGGCATCTTATTTAAATGACTTAAGTTAATCTCCATCAATGTCTGATTTATTCATAGTTCCATACACCAAATTAATCAAGAACATGTGTATATATAGTAATTAATTAATTTTGTTCCATGGAAATCAATTATTTTCCACAGAAGTTGAAGTTCTAACTAAGGAGTCTCGAGAACTTCGGTGTACATGCATACTTAAAACATAGGTTAACGGTAAATGCATATATGATTTTATTTTTTTGAGTAACAGGTTTCGAAAAAATCAATTTACAATAAGATAATTGACCTTAAAATAATTTTAATAATTTTTAATCAATATATTATTTGCGTGTTAATCCTACAAATTTTAAAATAATTGACTAACAATTTGAAGTTGTTTCTAATGAATCCTTGTCTGAAGAAGATAAATTTTAAATTCAATATTCTTTTAAATCAGAATTAAG